CTTGGGAGTAAATCACATCAAACTGTGTAAACAAGCAGTTTTATTCCGATTCACTACTAGTGGTTAGTTAGTACATAGAACTAGTCATTTTTATTTATATTTCTATTCAAAGTGGTAATGGACTTGGGAGAAGGCCTGCGATCTTAAAAGCTGCATACAATACACTCCTATAATTTACTGTAATACGTGAAAAGAACCCTTCAAAAGTAATATAAAGATAGAAAGAGAAACAGAGCTTGAACCACAGAAAGCGGCAAGCGCTGGTTGGCTTCATGTGACATATTAAACCATGGTAAGTTTGGGAGCAGTTAGTCAAACCAGAATTTAAGCACAATGGTTTAGCATTGGGTGTAAATAAGATAAAGTAGAAAAGTCCCCTTCCCCATTTTAACCCTTTCTTAGTAGCTCTGCCGTTGCGTCATCTAGAACAGTGTTTCTCAACCTTGACAATTTTAAGGCATGTGGACTTCAACTCCCAGAATTCCACAGCCAGCATTGCTGGCTGTGGAATTCTGGGAGTTGAAGTCCACATGCCTTAAAATTGTCAAGGTTGAGAAACACTGATCTAGAAGCTTAACAAGCGCTGTTCCTTGGGGGGGTGTTAATACAGAAAAAGTCCATCTCTGCATAGCAAAGCACTCAATTAATTACGTTTTGTGGGGAGGCAAAGACACTTGGATTACATTTTTCTTGTGCAAGACCCTCGCCGTAGCAACAAACCCAGCTCTCGGTAAACCCTCCGCACGAGCCAACAACCAGCAGGCGTTTGAGTAAACAGGAGAATAGCACCCGCCTCGTGCGCGCGCGCGCGCACACGCACACACCCCTTCTCTGATTGGTGCAGTAACAACGGGCAGAAAAGTCTGGGCGGAGGCGGGTCTCATCCGGGTCTCTGGGCAGAGGCGGAGATACGTTTGAGCGGGAGGGGACGCGGTCTATTTAAAAAAACGGCCCTGGCGAGGGCGCTCTAGGAAACAGGCTGTTTTCGATGGTTGGTGCAGGACATCGAGTTCCGAGGTACCGTGGGAGCCCAGGGAAGGTTGCCCGTGCCTTTGGCTACGGCGTGGCTTTTGCACCCTCTGTGCCGGAGGCGAGGGTGGTCCTCTGTTGAGGTTCTGCTCGAACTTTCTGCTTCTAGGTTTTTTTGGGGGGGGTGGGGGGAACTGGCCTAACCATTTGGAGGGGGCCGACTATATGGCCTTAGTGAGTCAAAGGGGAAGGTACTGTAATTGTGCATTGGCTTCCTTTACGTGCTTCTGGGCTGCTCTGAATGGGAAAAGTTCTCCTATTCCGCTTTTCTGATTTTCGGTTTCCTGCAGAAATGGCCGGGTCAATCGATCGTCTTACTAAGTTCACAGACCGCCACTTGTGGCTTCCTCAAGGAAGAAGAAGGGAGTAGTGTATTGGTGGTGGTGATGAAAATAAAATGCGTTTTAATTCGACAGACACAAAGAAATATAAATATTAGACGCAAATATTCCAGCTGAAGTATGGAACAAAGTACCTGATGTTTTTGTTTTCTTTTGTTTTAGTTGAGTGCTGTCCTAGATCCTATGTGATGGAGGTGAGTAATGCAACTTTAACAATCCACAAGTACTCGGTTTTAAAGTGATAAACTTAGGAATAGGAAATGCCTGAGCTTTTTTATGTAAAGTGAAACAATCCTGCTTTTATGTTCAATTTGTCAGTCAGATTCTATTGTTTTAAAGGAAATAGGTGAAAATCTAAAACGATCTTGCCACATTTGATCCAAATGACAAAAGGTAAAAATCTAAAAAGAAAACGTTGAGGAACCACAGTATTTGAGTTTTAATATGGATTTGAGGCACTTTTCAAAGGTAGAATTCTGAGATCTGCTAAGTGAAACCTGATGGAAAAAGTCCTTATGATTAAATTATTTTGAGTAATCGACAGCAATGTTACTAGACGGCATTCCACTTCAAATATGTTTTTGATTACTGTACTTGAAATGTACTTCATTTCAGTCACCTAATACAATATGCCAGGGTAGTTATATTTATGCTGTAATTGTCAAACAATTAAGTATTAATGAATTCCTCAACATCTACATTTGGAATTTATGCATATATTCATAGATACTCTGTTCTGTTTTCCTGCAATTTACTTGCAACTAATTTTATTGGTTTTAGGGAAAGAGGATAGATTTCCTGACACCTGTGCTTTAGCCCAAGGTGACAAAGTAACCATTGGTGATCAGTAAACAGAGACTTCAAAATTAATTCCATTCATAATTCCATTCGTATTTGTTCTTTTGTATCAGCAAATGTTGTTGTTGTTAGTTGCAAAGTCATGTGCGACCCATCGAGACCCCATGGACAAAGTACTTGAGTTTCAACTTCAGGATCTGGCCCTTTAAAGAGCAGTCAGGGTTGATCTCCTCTAGGACTGACCGGTTTGATTGCCTTGCAGTCCAGGGGACTCGCAGGAGTCTTCTCCATCACCATAGTTCAAAGGCCTCAATTCTTTGGTGCTCAGCCTTTCTTATGGTCAGCAAATAGATCCAAACAATTCAATGGGATCTGAACAAGGCCTTACATAAGTGGATACACATCATTTTCTTTGCTGATTATGCAATCTCATTGGGCACCAGCAGAAATTGCAAAAAGTACTACAAGAAAATTAGTTGGGAAAGAAATAGGTGCTATACTATTGTCTCTAAAAGATAGGATAGGGAAGAGTTGTCGGTAATTGATAAAAATACTCAATAGCTTGCCTTTACCATTTTGCAACCATCCTCAGCATTATTATAAGAAAATTGTATTTAGTGAGATCATTGTTTTATCCTACATATTTTATTAGATATAAGTCTCATAGAGTTTTCCTAAAATAATTTATATATCTGAAATAAATATAAGTCCATGTAACTTAGTTATTCTTAGGCCCCTTGATCTATAATTTCTCCATCAATAGAATTACAGGTCTTTTGTTGGTCTAAATTAGATACTGTAATCCGATCATAAGTGTGCTATATGCTGCTTGCATTCAAACATTTTTCGTTACTCTTGTGATCCAAGAGCTCCCCTGAACCTTTTTTATTTAGTTATTTTTACACATTTGGGCAAATTTTAAGGGATACCTTCGGTGCCTGAAGCTTTGCAGGGGTTTTAGAACACTATTTCATCCCTTAAGTGTCAATAACCTTAAAAATTTGAAATTCTTTTTCAAATGTGACATGCAGTTAAAGCTCTATGTAATTCTCAAACTAATGGAAATTTTGTGTATTCCTAATCTAAGTTTTTAAAAGAAAATGGCTGAATAAATGCTTCTGAGGAATTATAAATGCTACTGTATGTCTCTTTCTGCAGTCTGTGGATAGTGAATCAAAACATAGCTATATTGGAAGTTTTCTTCAGCCTCCAGATAAAATAAAATCTGCTTTTGCTGATCTCAAGCCAAAAAGTGTTATCAGCTGCCCACCAAACAACCAAGGTAAAGTACAAAACAGTAGTATGACATACTCTTAATGCGAAGCATAGTCAGTTTGTCTTCTTGGCCCATGTTTAATGTATTTCAGAACATACCGGTAGTGCCCGATAATTAACAACCATTTATTTATCAATTGTTTGAAGTTGCTAAAAACTCTTGACCCTGAGGCAGCTGTCAAGGTCCTATCTCAGTATCTTGACACTGTGCAGATCTGGATGGGGAAAAACTGACTCTGAATTAATCCTACCAGGACTGAGTATGGACATCAAGGCCTGATATCCATACTCAGCTGCTCTGGTTGCCAGTATCTTTGCTGGTGCAATTAAATTGTCTACCTTCCATGATTTCTGTCCATCTGGTAATAGCTGGCAGGGTTGATGCACTCTGGGTCCCCTTGATTAAACAGTGACCCAAGAAGCATGCCTTCTCTGATGGCACCTGCTTTGTGGAATGAGATCCCCAAAGATTTGTATAGCTCTCATCCTGATGGCATTCTGGAAGGACTTGAAAATGTGGTTCTAGATGAGATTCCTTTTTCTAGAGGCATTCCCATGTATATAGTATGCTGTTGAGACAGATGATGGTCTTGTATACGTCATACTGTATTTTCTATATTGTTGCTTTATTTTAAATTGTGGGCTGTCCAGAGTTGTCTGAGTGGTAGGCAGTACCTAAACCTAATTCATTAATTAAAGGTCTTGTGGTGTTTATGAAATCCAAAATGCAAGAAATGCTTCCAAAATCTTCTGGGCCATTAAAATGCATAGTCATTTCCTTTCTTTCATAATTATTGATTTTGTGTTTGTGCATCAGATCACGTCTAAGATATTGAACATATTCAATTTATTCAGTCTGCTAACCACACCATCTTAATCCTGTAAGTCAGGGTTGAATTCTTGATGCTGTCTGAGCCTGGTAATATCCTTGCATCAGATAAACAATAAAGGAGGAAATAATAATCAATCAAGGAACCATCAAAGAGGAAACCACATCCCCACCAAGACTGGCAGGGCAAGCTATTATGCATAAATAGCTAGCAAACTCTACTCTCTCTTACCCTGATGATGTTACGTAGCCTGGTAACAAAACACCTGCAAGAAAATACTAAACCCCCCATATTTTTAATATCTGGTTAGATACTAGAAGTGTAGTATCACACTGTTACATTGTGACATGTAATAATGCCTACTGCTTCTTTTTCTTTTAATTATCAAAACTGAAAAATTAAAAGTTTAGTTGACTTGTTCACCAGCTTTAGTGGCAGCCCTAAAAACTCTTCAAGAAAAGATCTGTCGTCTTGAGATAGAGAGGATACAGGCTGAAAATGACCTGAACTGCTTATCCAGAGAAGCTGCACAATATAGAAAAGCTTTGCAGCAGGAATCAAATGAAAAGAACATAGTTCACCCGGAGCTGATGGAAGAAAGGAAAGGTAACTTGCCAGTAGTATTGGCTTCTCCAGACTATATCTTTTCTATCTTAATCAAAAAAAGCAGTCGTTATATTGTGTTCTTTTTTGCATTCCATCTTAATATATGTGTACGGTTATAATATGGTTAAAGGTATCTTATTAATTGCTTAATTAAGTTTACACACCCTTTGAAGAAATTGGCACGAAGTATGTGGCAACTAAATATACTCTGTCTATCCAATTTGATTTTTTTTTAATCCCTAATGAAACATACTATTACAATTAAATTTCCCTCCCTTGTTTTTCCCCTCTCAGATGTGAGTGCACAATTAAGGGCAGCACAATCGCGCTGCTCTTTGCTAGAAAAACAACTTGATTACATGAGAAAAATGGTGCTCAAAGCAGAGCTGGAAAAAAAACTGGTTCTGGAGCAGCAGGTACAGAAATGTAATAAATCATTCTTAACATTTGTTTCTCCATGTGGCGTTTTATGTTAGTTTTCTTTGTAATCTTGCATATTCAGATCAGTAGCACATGAATCATGGAGCTACTGTTGCTTGTAGGTTTTACAGATTCTTGAGCTTTTTCTAATAAACTACCTGCTGATTAAACTGAATTCATGACAAGCTCACAGATGACAAGTATTAATTTTTTCTCTCTTAAACAGATGGATATCTAGAGATAAAAATGAAAAAAAAATGCTCATTGAGGCTTTCTACCCAGATTTCTTAACTTTAGACTTTTCAGCATTATCACGTTTTCAGCATTATAGGCTTTTTGAACGTATTTTAAATGAGTTTTGAAATATAAAATATTCTTTTCCATGAAATTTGTTGCTTAATTCTTAACTGCGAGCATCAAGAATGATTCCGATGCTGAAGAAATGCACACATACCTTGCCTAAAGATAAACGAGGTTTGATTGGGTGTTTGCTGAAAGAGATGTAGTGAAAATTGGCATTTTGGATTGTGATCCAAAAATCCTTGGTTATAGCTAGATGTTACTTATCACAAGTAATTGGTAGCAGTTAGCAGTGAATCTAGGCATGCTGGCTGAGGAATTCTGGGAGTTGAAGTCCACAAGTCATAAAAGGGCCAAGTTTGAAGAGCCCTGATCTAGATTGTAGATAAGAGAGAGATTTCTATATACTGTATGTATGCTCCTACCCATATTGTAAATTGTTGTTATGGTAGGCATTTCCTTTGACTACTATACCGCTGTAACATAAGTCATATATATGTCCATTCTTTGTCAACTTGCCGTTCAACATCCAATTATATCCAGAAATCTCTCCATGGGCAATCTTCCTTGGGCAACATTTTATTGTGCTTGCTCTATCTATATTTGCCATTGTTTATAGGGCTATTCATTCATCTTAAAATATTTGTTTAAATATGGTTTGCTGTCAGTTGCATGTTTTGTGGATATTTTACAGACGCATCTTCAGAAGGAAGATGACCAAAATCAGATGGAACTTTGTGCAAAACTGGAAAAACTTGAAATTCTAGAAAAGCAGTGTTGGACTCTTATTAGCACTCAGAAAACTGCAGAAGTAAGAAAATATTAACAGCATCATCCATACAGACCAGAACATGCCTTTGGTTATCTCTATCTAAGTGACATAAGAGGATGATAATGCTTTTCAGCCTCCTTCATCTCTCCCAGCCTCTTCTCTGTCAACAGCAATTTGGCTTGGGAAAATTAACTGAAAGCATTTTTTTCCAGCTTGATTGCAGCATAAAAGCCAGGGCATCATCCACTTTTGTTTTAATTCAACCTTTTGGGGACCCTAGAACTATAAAAGGTGAACTGCTTGTAGTCTACAAGCTTCCTGTCTAATTTTTTGTCTTTTTATTTTTTCAGGAAAAGATAAAACATTTGGAACAGAAACTTCTGGAGGAACAGCACCAGCGCAAGCTAATACAAGATAAAGCTGCACAGGTAGGGAAAATCAATATTGATGTTGCTGTAGTGGATAAACAACAAAAGGACCTGTGGATGAAAACTGTTAATCAACTTTTGTTGAAGTATATTGTCGTATTTAGAAACTCGGTTGCTTCAAAATTCTTTTTCTGAGCTACTATCAGTAGGGGGGGAACAACAGTTTCATAACAAGGCCGTGTTCCAGTCCAGCTGCCAGGACTTTATGGTTTTTTTTTAAATATTTTCTTTTCTGGTGGCAAACATACCTAATACTCCCCCCTCCTCCTATATTCCCCACAAACAATCCTATGAGGTGAGCTGGGCTTAGAAAGAGTGACTGGCTCAAAGTCACCCAGCTCACTTTTATGCCTAAGGTGGACTAAAACTCAGTTTGATGGGGTTTCTAGCCTGGTGCCTTAACCTCTAGATCAGTGGTGGCGAACCTATGGCACGCGTGCCAGAGGCGGCACTCGGAGCCCTCTCTGTGGGCACACGTGCCGTTGCCCCAGCCTTGCCTCCCCCCGCGACCCCCTCTTCAGCAGCCCCCCTGGAGGAGAGTCGCCCCCGAACGTGGCCCACACAGAGCAGCGTAGCCATGGCAACCAGGCAGCGTAGACAAGACTCTGCCCTCAAGCCCCATTGTGCACAGTTGATGCAGAGGGCAGAGGGTGTGGCCGCCATGGCACTGCTGGGCTGCCTGGGAGATCTGCGGCAGGCCCTGGAGGCGGTAGTGGCCCTGCGGGCAGGCAGGGTGGGGGCGGGGCAGGGAGTGGAGCGGGGGCGGGGCCAGTTTTTGGGTACTTGGTCTCTAAAAGTTTCGCTATCCCTGCTCTAGATCAAACTGGCTCTTCAGTCGATTTGATGTGTTAATTTCACTGTCAGCAATATTTCAGATTTAAGAATAGTTTATAATATGACTTTCATGTTATTATAGTTGGAGATGTTAGCTTGAACATTATTCTCGAAAATACATTGTTTTTAAATAGCCATCACATATCATTTCTCTAATAAGACAGCTGGATATGAATCTCTGCTAATTAAGGTTGCTTGCTACAAATTTTGTCAAAACGTTCAAAGGATATGGTTAGAATTCTCGGGAAGCTTTTCAAAACACACTGTGTTAGTTGGGCCAATAAATGTCACCATTTAATTCTGTGGTACAAATAATGCAGCCCATCAGATATCTCAATTGGCATTGATTGCAAAAAGGAGAGGAGGGGGAGGGCCTGTCAAACATTGCTTGATACTGTGATTAAAACAATAGTTTTATATTAAGCAGATATTTTAAAAGTGTAGTTTTTAATGCATTTGGTAATATTTACTGGAAGTTGTACAACTTCTGTGATGGATCATGCAAAGCAAATTTTTAAAGGTATTTTTTCCAGAGAGCTGTTATATCACACTATGACATTCCTGTGTGACTCTTATATAAAAGTCATGTACTCATATTTTTCAATATGACTGCTAACTCTTAATATTTTTTACTACAGCTCCAGACAGGTGTTGAAATGAACAGAATTCTCCTGTCCTCACTTTCACCTGAAAAAGAGGTGAAGAAGAAAAGCAGGAAAAAGAAAGTCATCAAGGTAAAATGTTAGTTTTCAACCACATTATTAATAATATTGAGAAGTTAGGCAAGCGACAACCTTCCATTTATTTTGCACAAGGCAGGTTTCCTAGGAGTGCCTCTTAAGAAGTGTGTTTAATCTCAGCAAAGAAATGTAAAATGATCCCAACCATTTCTATATTTAGTAGATCCTAGTCTGTTGTGATTTTCAAATAAAGTCACCCGGATTCTGCTTTTCCTTATATAAGGCTAGTGTTTCTCGGATTATGTTCTAGTATTTCAGTGATTTAGAATCTAGAATTGGAAGTCTCGATAAGATATTCAGGATTTTCCTACAGGTAGAATTAAAAAAATAGTTAAGTTAAAGAAGTCCCAGTAATTTCAACATGCCTGAATTAATTGCAAAGTTCCATTTGTATCTGGATGCCAGGCAATACAGGAAACAATAACAAAAATGCAGATATCTGTATTTAGCGCAGAAAATAAACTTATTCAGTACTTTAAAATAATAGAATACCACAAAACATATTTTGATGTTATCCTCTAAAAATATGCCTATATTACTTATTTGAAGCTCAAAGCAAGCTTAATAGTTAATTTTCTTTAACTTCACAAACATCCAAACTTTCAGAAACTAGCCTTTCATACATTCTTCCATCAAAGGTGTACGACCCACAGGGGCTCCATTGCAAGCTTTTTATGTTCCCAGGCCATAACCTGCTTGCACTACACATCCAGGTTCAGAAGTGGCTGAAAACTAATTCACTGAAGCATTAAAGTGACAAAGCAGGTAGTAAGATGAGTACTAAAATTCATATAACGAACAGAAATAAATTTAAAATGTAGTTCTTGGATCCATGTGAATTGAACTAAATGATATTGTTAAAAGTGCAAAGAGGAAATAGGATGAGAACCTAAAATGAGATTTTATTAGACTGAAAGTCCCTGACCTCTAGTCTTTTAACTTTCATAGATTATAGAAAGAGCATTCTTGACTGGGAAAGAGTTGTATTAGCAGGCATGAAATAGATAAAATAATTCAGATGGTGGCAGATAAAAAGGCTTTAAACACAAAACAGATGGAAAGGTACTCACAAAAGCAAGTATAATCATTATCTTATTTGCTAGTGAATGCCAACTCCTATACTCTTACGTTTAAAGTTGTCCATAATTGCAGAATTTTTACAGTTGTCCATAATTGCAGAATTTTGAAAGAATCACTAATTTTAAAAAATTTAAAAGAAACATTTTTTGCTGGTCTTTCAATAAAGAAAACTTCCACATAAACTGGGATTGCGAGAAATAAATCAAAACTATTAGGCTATTAAGCTTTCCAACTGAATTCCAATCTTGTTCTGGGGATTATCCCAAGAGAGCATTTCCAATTAGACATATTTTGGTTTTTCTAACTTTCAAAATGATAAATGTTATTTGGTATGCTTTTTTACCATCTTTCTCTTAAACTAAAAAAAACCCAAAAACCAACAGGTTGGATCAATTTTTAAATATATGTCTTAAATATATTTAAGAATGGTCCATTGAAATCAATTGGATTTAGGCAGGTTGGATAGTCATTTAAAGTTATGCCCATTTATTTTAGTAAATACGTACTGTATGATTAAATCTGAGCCCATCTGACTTCCTAAGTTGCACCCAGTTTTCCATTTGTGCATATGATTTCTTATGGAACACTCATCGTCCCTTATTCTGAGGTTTTTGGAAACATTCGGAAATGTTTGATAAGTGATGCAAGAAGGCTATAAAAAGGGCTGGCAAACAAAGATCACAAAAAAGGATTAAAATGTTTCCATAATTCAATATATAAGGAACATATATTTCTTATATATAAGAAACTTAATGTTCTAAAGAGAAAGCTATAATCTTTCATATTTTGTCGAGTCTCAAACAAGTTTCAAGTCTTGAAACATTTCTCTTAAAAGTAATAAGACATAGGATTAATGAAGATAGATCTCATTCATCTCCCTTCTTTAATTAAGTTTAGAACCTCCCTTCTTTTTTCCCCAAATGAAATAAATCCAGGTTTTAATTTTCAGAATAATTCTAGTATGAAGAGAACACAGTCGAGCTTTCAGGGTGGAATGTTGCCTTTTGTTGCCGGCAAGGTAAGCATTGTGTCTTTGCAAATGAGAATTTAGTCAAATTATTATTTGCTTAACAAAATGTTATACTTTGCTACTTCTCCCACAAGTCTGCCAGCTCAAGTCACTCTGTTGTTGCAAATGTACAAAGTGTCCTGCATATGATGAAATACCGTAGCCCTTGTATGACTTCACAATGTCCAGAAGGCACTGAAAAGAGGACTTCAAGATGGCCTGGCATTTGCAAACCAGCGTCTTGTTCCACGACTTCCTCTGCTACTGAAAGTCTTTCTGATCTTCTTCTGGGTATGCAAGATGAGTTGGGACAAATGAGTTTGTAAGTATTCGTGTATAGTTTCCATACAATCTCTCTGGTGTCAAATGGGTATTTTAGCAACATACACTTTTTGATCTCCTGTCACCTACCAGATACTGGAGCAACATAAAAAGCAGCAGATCTTTCTTTTCCTCCCCCCACCCCCCCCACCCCATACCACATGTAGGCAGATGTGGAAAATGGCAAATTGCTTTTTAAAAACAGGTGGTGATATAGGTTGATCCTATTCAAATATAAAAAAAACCCCAGATTTTTACCCACATTCACAATGTTAGTGGGAGCAGGACTGAACTTAAGAGGCCTATCACTGAAAGCAACAAAGTATCCTGAAGTTTTTATAATAATAATAATGATGATAAAGTTGGAAGGGACCTTGGAGGTCATCTAGTCCAACCCCTTGCTCAGGCAGGGAACCCTATACCATTTCGGACAAATGGCTGTCCAGTCTCTTCTTAAAAACTTCCAGTGTTGGTGCATTCACCGCTTCTGGAGGCAGGTTGTTCCACTGGTTAATTGTTCTAACTGTCAGGAAGTTTCTCCTTAGTTCTAGGTTGCTTCTCTTTTTGGTTAGTTTCCATCCGTTGCTTCTCGTCCTGCCTTCAGGCGCTTTGGAGAATAGCTTGACTCCCTCTTCTTTGTGGCAGCCCCTGAGATATTGGAACACTGCTATCATGTCCCCCCTTGTCCTTCTCTTCGTTAAACTAGGCATACCCAATTCCAGCAACCGTTTTAGCAGCACAACAGGCAGTTATGGGTTCTTGGGTTAATGCCCCAGCTATAGGAGCTGGCAGTTATGGACACCTGTCATTTGGCACTTGCAACACCTCAACTCCATGAACTGCATTGGTTGCTAGTATATTTTGGGATTCAGTTTAAGGCGCTTGTAATTATTTTTAAAGCTCTTGGGGCGGGATTAATGGTGGGACCATGTCTCTCCAGTTGTATCTACCCATTCTGCAAAATTCAGCAGGAAAAGTTTGCTCTGGGTCCTGTCCAGACACTTGCATTTTGGCTGTTTTAATTGTTTTGGTTGGTTGATTTTTGTCATCTGCTGTTATTTATGGTATACCTTATTAAGGTAAAATAACTGATATTTATGATGTACCCCACTAGGAATGTATGTGATTTACAATCTTGTAAGAAACATACATTCCTACTAGGGTGCTCAATTGCATGCCCAAGTAACATCCGTCTACTCTCAACTGTAGATATTCATCTCTTTAATTCTGCTGCTTCTCCTCTAGCATCTGAAGTTTCATGTGGTAACACTTATTGGCTGCATTTATTTCTCATGCCCAATTAATCTGTACAAAACTTGAAATTTGGAGCTACTCTACTCAAGAAATATCCACATACAGATAGTCCTTGACTTACAACCATCTGTTTAGTGACTGTTCAAAATTACAACAGCACTGAAAAAAATGATGTGCAACCGGTCCTCTCACTTACAACCATTACAGCATCCCCATGGTCACATGATCAAAATTAATGTGGTTGGCAACTGGCATGTATTTATAATGACTGCAGTGTCCTGAGGTTATGTGATTGCCATTTGCAACCTTCCCACCCAGCTTCTATCAAGCAAAGTCATTGGGGGAAGCTTAATTATCGTGATTCATTTAACAATTGCAGTAATTTGCTTAACCTCATTATTTAGACCTCCGTATTTTATGACTTGATGTACAAATAATGAAGAAACTTACAAGGATGAACAAACAAAATGTAGATGTACAGTAGAAAAGCCCTAAATTGTGTTTAAACAACTGATAGAATTTGTCTTCAACAGTGAACATCAAGAACTATCAAAGCAGATAGAGGAAAGTCAAAACCAAGACATTCGGGAAGACCTAGAACGTGAATTGGATTGTCTTGTGAAGCAGATGGAAATTAAAGGAGAACAGATTTCAAAACTGAAAAAGCATCAGGATCATGTAAGAGACAATTCTGAAATCAGGAGATGTGACTAGTTAGGATGTGCCTTGTTAGACAGCCAGTGCTTAGCACTGTGATGCTTGGAGAAAGGAAAATAAATGAGAAATTGTATGAAATTTCACACAATTAAGACAATTATGAATGTGCCTGGAAGGACTGAAGAGAGACATCTCAAATGTTGACATGCATCGCTGTTTTGCCGAATAATATGCACCATCATGCCATTGAGAAACGTTAAATCAATTGTTATGTATTACATTAGTTTATTTATTCAAATTCAGCTCTAAAAAAATCTTATTACCCATTTTAATCCTTGCACTTAAAACCAAACATTAATATCCTTATTCCAAAATTGTAATAAAAATAATTTGATAATGCTTAGCTTTGGTATGAAAAGAGACTTGACGCGCCTCACAACAGCAAAGTGAGCCTATCTTTGCATATCAGAATTATTGTGCAATTTTTCTTTGATTTAGGTTTATAAACTGAAGCAAAGAGCTCAAAAACTGAAGAGAGAGCCAGCATGTTCAGCATCGAGGCCTAATGAATTAAAAGGAAGCAAAGAGACTGTAATCCCTCCAAGTATCTCTTCTACAAATAAAACCACAAATTCCCTTCGGCTATTAAAAAGTGCTCAGAAGATTCAATCAGTATTGAAGAAAGATGATATTGTGTGGGAATCATAGGTTCCACATCTGATTTCATACATCACTCTCTGCTGAGATTTGATTTGTGTTAGTGGTATACCCATTAATACTGAGAATAAAATGTCGGGTAAATAAATTCTCTGTTTTCTGTACTGGCATTTAAAAACGGATTATTTTAATGAAGCATGTGCACTGTTTTTAAGTAAAGGACCTATCACTCCGCGTAGTCAAATTATTGTGTGCCTCGCCATCCTTTCATGAGAGACTTTGAAGAAAAAGTATTCTTTTGCGTCTGGGTTGATTTAAAAAATACCTAGTGGTTCATTGTTTTATTTCTGTAAAATATTTATAGACTGTTTTTCAGTAAACCAATAAACTTCAAAGTCTTAAAAAAAACTGTCACAGTTCAGGTCTAGGTTAAATCTCTGCTTGCTTATCTAACTGGTATTGTTACGTACCCATCAGGCTATCCTGCTAGTTTACAAAGCAGAAGTGTTACACGGGCATACTAAGGCATGTCCATCACTATATATGAAATCTTTGTTAAAGAACCCTGGTAATGCCAAATATAAATACTAAAAACCAAATTTATCTGGTGCAAAGAGATTTGCAGCGTTCACAGGGAACTCTTTGTTCTCCCCTTTTTTAGCACCCCAAGAATTAACCACATTCCCTCCGACCACTCCAGAGAGGAGAAATTGGATGCTTTAGCAGAATGGTCAGTGAAAGGAAACCGGTTGAAGGTGTCTCATGGTTATCATATTCAATTCCTAGTCTTTTAACACCTGATAGCAAATTGGCTCTTAACAAATGAATGTATGGAGATGCGATGGCATGAATTTGCAGTTGTTTAAGTCAGTATTTCAAAAGGGCTTCACTTGTGACATTTAACTTCCAAACAGAACTATCTCTACCAAGGCTATACAACCTTGCCTCTTTTATGACCCGTGGACTTCAACTCCCAGAATTCCTGAGCCAGCTTTGCTGGCTCAGGAATTCTGGGAGTTGAAGTCCACGAGTCATAAAAGAGCCAAGGTTGCCTACCCCTGATCTATACAAATACTTTGGGGACCTACAGCCTCACTCAGGCCTTACTAATCTTCTACTTGGCTTTAACCATCTTTGACAAAGTATTGTTTTCTCCCACTGGCGCAGAAGAGCCCTATTTATTTATTTGGTCATTTTTGGATTAAAATAGATCAACATGCCATCTATTAATCTGGAGCCCAGGAAGTGATTTTTTCAGCCCTCAGCTTATGTGTACAGATGTTGTTACGGTTACCACTAAGCCTACCCAAGCACTCTTGACAAACCTCTCGATTGCATCTTTAGTTTTGATCACACTAGCTATAGAAACCTGTGGGAGATGTTTGCTGCCACTGTTTCTAATAAGGCAACTGAGCTCTTTGCTAGAAGCTGTTTACCTTCTGGGCTTGTGAAGTTGTGACCTTTCTATTGATACCAGGTATCGTATTCTCTTAAGCTATGTGTTCCAAGATAGGGCAAAAGTAAGAGCAAATGAGTTTTTATTTGTCCCAGAAAGTGCATTTCCTTGTTAATTTATGCTAAAATAACTATATGAAAGACTCCCGAGAAGAAAAGTACGGGGCCTCAATGATCTATAGCAGCAAGTCTTGCTCTGTTAAAGAATTCGCTCTTAAGGAAGATAAAGAAAAATTGTTTTCTGAAGGAGGTTAAATACTATCTAGAATTATCATTTAAATGCTTCACAGATTAAGATAATTGGAGAAGAAATATTGACATTTTCTCTTTTTACTCTCTATCTCCCCTCTCCCTCATCATAATGAAGGCCATTTCAATTTTGTGTGCTTTTAAGGGGAACAGGCATGCTTTCTAGTATTAATCACGTCTATTTTGAAATCTTATATATGCTTTGCTGGTATCCTAATCTCATTACTTAGGTCAGCTAACTCAGTCATGCCTGTGGCTTTTTCAGGGGGAGGGATATCAACTGATCCTGGATGATTTTTGAAATTGTGAAATTGTTTGAAAATCCTGTAAGCATCGCTTCTACAATAGACTTCTTGCTTAAAAAAGCTTACAAGTTTCATAAGAAATTAGGAGAAATTATTTTGTTAAGGCATTTCTATATCTTGGCAGAAGCAGTTACTGTGATACATGCTTAAAACAAATTTTAAATCCCTCAAGCAAATCCCTTTTAATTTATATATTAATTAGATAGGGTCCTTTTTCTAAAGAAATTGCATTTTCCAAATTTGATACGTTGTTGTGTGGCTTTGGGCAACAAGTCAGGAAAAGGGATGTGCTTTTCCATAAGTCGGTAGAAAATTATCTGGGTGGGTTCAGCTGCAGATTATGCAACTGGATATGATTTATTCTGATAGAATTTGTGTTACCCAAATCCCATTGAGAGCTAGTTCGTATATAAAAGCTACACTATGAAGTTAAGAACTGGGACTATAGAGTCATGGTCCAAGAGAAATGCACAATTCTACGTAATTATCAAAATAAACATTTGACACAAGTGATTATACTGTTCTATAACCATAATAAAGATTTGATTTGATGCTAGTGATTAGTTATGTTCACTGCCTTGAATTATATATCAAATGGCAGGATAAAATAATAAAAATTAAACATTTTAAAAGGCTTATCTCTGAACCCACCAATATGAGCCAAAGATGTGAAGTAGTGTTAGAAAAATGCAGTCAATGTTCTGTATTAATTTCAGGGTTGGACGTGACTTGTTTCAAATTTCTTTTACTCATTAACTTTATTACTCTTGTCTTGCACCAATCGCTATCTTTTTAGCTATCTCACAATCTGATTTTGAGGGGAAAATGGAGAGAACGTAAATGATATATTACACCCTTGAGTTTCTGGGGGGGGAAAAAGCTCACATATACATTAAATAATTGCATATTACCACCACAGAAAGAATAAGCAGAGGACAGAATGGAATTGACATTTGAGCCAACAGATATACTAAGTCAATTTTTGACCTTTATAAAATATTCTGTACTAATGCTCAGCAAGGAATCTGTGATGTATTCCAGATAGGCAACATATAACAGGAACAGTCTCAGTATCTAACAAACTATCCTATATATAACTGCTAAAAAAATGTAGGCCTGTCAAAGCTTCTAATGGTTTGTGTAACTAGTCCAGGAATAGATATATTTCTTTTCAAAGTTCTTTTGTGCTATAATGTTATAGCACTTTATAATGCTATAAAGTGTGCTTATGTGGATCCAATAATAATGAGATCAAATATGGCTGTACTGAGAATAAGAATCTAGTTCATACATCATAATCGATTGCATTTGGTTGTCTTACCATAATGTGTGAAATTGTAATTTATAATCCATATTTTATGGATTATAATTTGCACAATCTTGCTAAGGCACAATCTATGCCTTAGTGAGTCATTGTAAAACCAATAATAATGATGTGTGAATCCAGTTAGTATATGACATGAAAATACTTTAACCCTGTTTGTATAAACACATCTGGTGGGTATATTTGTTCTCTGAATACTGTAGTTGTTTTTTTATGGATATTGTTTGTCTCATATTGTTTTTCATTCTGTGAAGCTGCCCAGAATTATTGGGAGGGATACAGCCTTGAAATGTAATTAATAAATGAATAAATATCTTACACTGATGGAGGTGATAATTAACTTTCAGCTTGGTCAGAATAAACCACAGGGATGTTTAGTTGTTAATACTATCAACCAATAACCAATTTCTGGGTATTGGGGTGTACATGCTATCAATAAATGAGCCAAGAAAAGACTATAAAGGATAATTTGTAGATTTGTAGATCATGTTCCCTTTCCTATTATATTGCTGACATAAAAGAAGCTTGATTTGCAGCTAGAAGATATGCAGAACTTGCTTTCAAGTTCAGACACAACTAGTTCAGATGATCTTTTGGTCCTTCAAAATGCCAACTCAGTTTCAAGTAATAGAATGTAACAGACAATATCCATCTTTAGCTTGAAATTATTCTGTTGCAATTAACAATGAAAATACAAGCAATGTCACTAAACTCTATAAGTAACTGACCTTTTTACTTTTGTGGCATGTACTGTTTTAATACATAAAATGGGCAGTTAGCATGAAAAGGCAGTTACACTTCTACTGGTTTTTTTGCCCTCAAGCAAGAAGTGAAACAAATATCCATCATACATTATAACTTATTTCTTTTGTGTGCATTATATTTATGCACTTACTTCTAAAGTGCTTAATTATGAAACTATTATTGAAAATTAAATATAATTTTATCTACACTTTCTCTTTATGCTATAAGACAAAATGGATGAAATATATAAGATCTCTTCAACTGAAAGAGTCCAACAGGTAGAGAAAGAATTAGCTGTGCAGCTGACTGAACTGAAGACGGAAATGGAAGGAAATGGAATCTTACAAGGAACTGCACATTGGTAAAAACATCATTTCTTACTTAGGAACCCAGCTGTTTCGTAACAGGCCACATAGCTTATGTGGATCCAATGCAATTATTTCCCATTCTTGGGCAAGGTTGCTCAAAGATCTCACTGTAAAGTCATTGTGAGGAATGTATTGGGCATCTGTTGAATAAAGTCACTTTGCTCTAGGTTGGACTTTATCCTTGTAACAGGTCCTATGGAGTTCACTTGGGCTCAGTCTTGCTCAGTTATCTGGGAGGAGGTTGACCCTATTGATGAAGTGAGCAGGATTCTCATGACTGTTAGCTTGGTCACCTGTCCTCAAGAAGCCATCACTAGGCCCAATCATGCTGGACAAATTTCTTTAGGAAAGGTTATAGAAAAGGTGGTTGTGCACAGCAGCTCCAGAGAACTCTGGTGGAAAATGGATTATTTGGATCCCTTTCATTCAGGCCTGGGAATGGGACTATAAAGCATCTATTGTGCTTTTAGATGACCTAGCTAAGAGCAGGGTGGAGGCAATATATCCATCCTTGTTCTTGACAGCTCTTACGATCTGCCAGAATGTCCTTGAGAGACAGGAGGAAGAGGAGGACTGCAGCCTAGGTGATAGTCAGATACGAGGTAGGTGAACCCACAGAAGGAAGGGGAACCTGGAAAATGTCTCAGAAGTGACCCACCTTGCTTGTTGAACTGTAAAGACAAGGGAGGAGAGATGTATTTTCAGACTTTAGAATATAGAATAACAGCGTTTGAAAGGACCTTGGAGGTCTTCTAGTCCAACCTCCTCTTTAGGCAGGAAACCCTATACCATTTCAAGCAAATGGTTGTCCAATCTCTTCTTAAAAACTTCCAGTATTGGAGCATTCACAACTTCCGGAGGCAAGTTGTTCCACTGATTAATTGTTCTAACTGTCAGGCAATAAGATTCTGTTACCTTAACTTTACAACAAAGGTAATGTTATTAGTCATAGTTGTCCTTCTTGTCTGGACTACCTTGCAAGGCAGAAATCAATATCAACATCAAGGAAGCAAGGAAGGAAGGAAGGAAGGAAGGAAGGAAGGAAGGAAGGAAGGAAGGAAGGAAGGAAGGAAGGAAGGAAGGAAGGAAGGAAGGAAGGAAGGAACTAGCATAATACAGAACTGCCCACTCCCAACCCCCAGAGCAGATTCAGAAAGATACTGTGACTGGATGATATTGAAAGCCAAAGTCACCTCTTTGAGGAAGTCCATATCAAAAGCACCAATTAATGTCAATACTACCAATTTTTTTACATTTTTAATACTGTTTTTAATTATTGTTAGCTTCCCAGAATAATGAATTTGAGATGGGTGGCCATATAAGTGAAAATGAATGAATGAATGAATGAATGAATGAATGAATAAAAATTCACATTATAAATATAGGCTTAATTTCAGAAGGAACAGCTAAACAATGATAGATGCCAATCAATCATGGGTTTTTCTGCAGCACATTGGATTTTAATAATTCCAGCATATCTTATGTAACCTTAAAGCAATATTCTTTAGGCTGTTCAACCCAACTTTTATCTACTTATAAAATAATATGTGAGGTGTGAGTTACTCACATGCTGATCACTGATTCATGAGATTACAGCAACTTGTTTATGATGCTGCTTTTAGAGATAACCCAGAAATTCCTGGCATAAAACAGGGTAAGGAGATTACTAGCAGGGCAAAGTTGTTGCACTAGTTGATTCACAGAACATCAAACAAAGGTGGAAGGAGTATACTGTTGTTCAGTTAAGGTATCAATTTCTACGTTATCTTAGATTATATTCTCTATGTAGAAGAATTTCTACAATAGGAGGTTTAATTAGATGTGCATATATGGCCATTTCCAAATTAGAAAGTTACCAAATTGATGGAATGACTGTAGCAGGGGTAAGCAACCTTGGCTCTTTTATGACTCATGTCAGCTATGCTGACTCAGGAATTCTGGGAGTTGAAGTCCATGAGTCATAAAAGAGCCAAGGTTGCCTACCCCTGGACTATAGGAATATGGGAAGCAATAGAAGAAGAATCAGTAAAGGTTCTAAGCAAATTATGCCAGCAAATCTGAAGAATGACACACTGACCAATAGACTGTATACCAGTACTAAAGACAGGAGGCATAACAATGTTTGCAAACTATTATACCATCTCCTTAAGTTTCTTGCCAGCAAGGAAATGCTTAGGATCATCAACAAAGAGCAGATCCCTGCAGGGAAATTGAGATGCCAGTTTAATCCTTGGCCAACATTTTTTCATTTCATTCTCACAATTCATGGAGGTATTTGCTACCGTGTGACCACCTTTAGAGAATGTCGTGGCATCCGTTTAAAGCCGGGGCCTTAGCCTGCTCATCTGTGGTTTTCACTGCATTGTACTGAAAGTGATGTTCTGTTCAAAATGTGCAGTCATACAGTTGCTGACTTTCTCAATTACTCAGTTTCCCACATAAATTGCTACACATTTATTTGTCCAATTAATATTCTAATATTTGTTCTGCTTGTTATTAACGACTGAATTAATAAGCTGAACTGGCCTTTTAATTTCAGCAGGGAATTTCCCGTAGTCGGAAGTAAAAATATATTTAACATAAGTGGGAATAAATATTGGCTTGAAAGTCTCAGTCTGTGGATATTGGTGGTACAAGCCGTATGAAATCCTTGAGTTTCCAAGTGATTATTGTTAAATTCATCCTACAGTATATATTTTGCAGCTGTTAAGTAATTTCATATGTATTTCACTGCTAATTCTGCTCTGGTCTGCAATAATGTTTCATCATATTTCATAGTTCTGTGCCCCTTCCAAAAGATGCTGATTATTTCAGAAGAGAAAGGGAGTGGATACTGAAAAAATGTTTACAGGTAATAAATAAATGCATCACTGTAAAAAAAATTACCTCAACATAGTCCAAAAGCCGTACCTCTTATGCCTTTTGCTTGTTATTAAACCTATTCAAACTGGAGAAGCTTATTTCTCATTTTTAGTAATTATTTTAATTAGCAAGAAAATTGTCATTAAAATGTTTTGATCATTATTAAACAGCATTTTCTACAATTTTAAAAGATCCCACAATATTATAAGCATACCGTATTCAATACCGCTGAATAATTTTAAACTGTTATTGATTTTTCTCAGGTTGCAGAGGCAAAGCCTCTTGTAATTCAAACTGATGTCCTGCAGAGGGAGCTAGATAGCTGTCTAAAAAGAGAATATACACCAGAAAGTTTACCCTTGTTGCTGTATCAGGTAATGGTTCCTTCTTTTCACGTTTGCAGTTTTTTTACCTTAAATTTTCTACCAAAAACAGCTGACATGTTATGGCTTCTCAGCCTCCAAATTCCTCAAAGTTGTGCTTCTAATTTTCTATTGTAATTTTTTAGTTTGAGGTGGACAATGAGCCAATGTGTATGCAAACGATATTCCAAGGAATTTATTTATGATGCATAATTTTTCAGAAGCAAAACTGTAATTGTAATCTGTAACCTCTTATTTTTTATAAAGTTTTTTATTGACAGAATCTCACAGTTAGTCCAAAGCAAATACCTACATATGCTAAGATGGAAAAGATTTTGTCAGCACAGTAGTATTATTGAACAACTGTATCCTTTCTACCAGGTATGACATCTCAAAGCTTGTACAGTTGTTAAATATAATGTAAAATGTTTATTTTCAAATGAACTTAAATATGATTTAATGTTTGTTAAGTGCGGAGGCAAAGCTATTGAATTTTCCTTTCTGTGAGTTCAATTTAGTTTGGGAAAAATGGTATTTTCCTATGTGGGAAGTCAGCCCCCCAGAGAAGGAAATATTAAAAGGGCAGGAAAATATATTTCCTAAAAGGATCTTGAAGAGGCAGAAAAACATGCCCAGTTTTCTTGATAGCCCCAGGTCTCCCCAGAAGCCAGCTCTGCTTGGGGGAGGGAGTTGTAAATCATCAGGAAGGTTGAGGCTAGGAGATTGAGAAGACAAAAACACCTAAAATCTGCATACCTCACCCAAACTCTAAGAGTCATTAGCCCCAGCACCAGGGAAGCAGGATATGATCTTTGGGTCATAATAGGATTAACCCATCACCATCAGAATACCAGAAAAGCAAACTCAAACTCAGGTCAAAGTTCATGCCACAGGAACAGGAAACAACTCAAAACAAAAGGCTCCAGAGGATATAACAACCCACTCCCTACATGTGCTCAGCCCCTTATTTCTCTCTCTTTTCTGCCAGAACCATCTTCCTGTCTGGCTCTCTTCTTCAATAAACTACAACCTTCTTCCTAAAGCAGTCACCATGTTTATTCCCAGCTTGGACTGAACCACGATGAAGACTTTTCTTTCAACACCTACATAATGACTTACAAATTTGCTCATCTAAAATCATTGACATCTTATTAATGTCTATTTCTATATGCGGGGACTTGTAGGGGAGTATTAAAATCTACCAACAAAAAATAATTTCTAGATGGTTCGTTAATTCATCTTCCTGGGAAAAGAAAGCCATTTCCATCTTTTTCCTCTCTTTGTTAGAAACAAGTGGCTCAAATTATGCAGGAGTATAATGATGCTGTTCAAAGGGCTGCGAGACTCTCAAGTGTACGAGAGAGCTTTCTGACTGGAAAAGAAATTCCTATAAACCTGGTGACCCAGGAAGATTTGATGATCTACACACAATGGCTAATATGTCACTTGCATTCACTTAAGACCATCCATGCCTATCTCCAGGTAGGATAATGGCTTACCATGAAACAGGCCATGAAGTCTGTTGGGGAAGTTGAGACCCATTTCACATTAATATTCATAAATTTCTGCTAAAGGCAGCAGGACACTTATATAGGTTGTGTAAAAAAAAAAATCTGCCAATAGTATTACAATAGTAATGTAAAATGGCAGCACAAAGTCTGAGTCCCTTTGCAAATCCCCTCCCCAGCATCCAGACCCTTGAACATTAATTGGATTCCTTGAAAAGTAGCTCTTTTTTCAGATGCAAGGCACCAGAACCAGACATAAAGAGTTCAATATTTATTCTATAATTAGATAGCAGTAGACGAAGAACTAAAGATTTGTAAACATTTCTACTGAGGTTGCACTCCTATATAGACATTTCTCAAAAGAGTAGAAGAACTAAAACCATTGTAGGCTAAAGCATTTACTATGGTATAAATTTGACCGTAAACTGATTGGACCTCAAGGAAATATGAGATTATCTTTCTCCTAATAGATAGGGAGTCTGGAGCTCTCTAGACATTGCTGAATTACAGTTCCTAATATCCTACAATAAGAGTGAAGTTAATAACTAGATGAGAAAGTCAAGTCAGGGTCCATCCTTACTGCTCTATTTGGGCTAGTATATGAAACATGAAACATCCTTCCTCTAGGAAACAGGAGTTTATAATAATATTTCTTTTATTAATAGCAAGATGCAGCCTACATTTTCTGAGATAACAGTCTTATAGAGGTGTTTGTGTCTCCAACCAATATAGAAAAAGAAAAACATAACTTCAGTTGAACAGCATATTTCAAAATGTCCTAGATAGGATTCCCTAAATTGTATTTCTTTACAAAGGCTGGAAATCTCAGTCCATTTCCCATAACACAAGAGATTCTATCATATTTTGGGGAGAAGTATAAAAGTAACTATTATTAAATGTGTATTATGTTCTGCTTTAAATACATATAATAAATGTAAAACATATGCTCAAATCTATAGGTACTCCAACACTTGCCTATCTCTCACAGGACAGAGGTAGCCATTGACAGACATCCATTTCAAGGTGATGGACATAAAACTAAAGCTTCTGGAAAAATGGATTTTTTGTCTCTCAGGATGCAGGTCTCTGTCCACCCTTGCTCTTTAGCCATAGAGGGTAAGGAATAATGATATCCATATAATTTGGGAGCCACAATCCTGAAGGGCTCTGGGAGCTATACAAATTAGCTGAGAGACTGAACATGGGTCACAGGCTGTAGATTTCCTCTGTCTCCCTTGGTGCTTTCTATGCAAAGTAATTGTTTTGGCCCAACAGCCATGCAGTAGGGCTCTAGCTGCTAAACAGATCTAGACGTCTTTCTGAATTTTCTAGAGAGAACATGTTTTCCAGTCTTTCCATGTTGCTCAAAGTTAGAGGAGGAGGATTGGAAAAAATACTGATTTACTATTTATATTTAGCATTTGTTCAGGATATAGCATCCTCTGGATACTCAAGGCAGTGTTGGTGGACCTTTACTTCCTATAACAAACTGTGAGGAAGGCTGAGCTCAGTGAGAGAATGAGTAAACCCAAATTATCCAGGGAACTCCATTACTGAGGAGAACTTTGAACCTGGATCTCCTCAG